CGTACTCTTTGACCGGTCGACGCTTCGGTTTGGGCGTCGTGTCGAGATTTCATTTTCACCCGAGACACCCGGCATCCACTGGATGGACGCGCTGCTGGCCGAGCTCGAGAAGGTCTTCAACATCCCAAGCGATGCGATTCAGATCGCCAAGCCGCCGCAAACGTCCGACGTCGACGTCAACGACATTCAAGAGACACCGTGGATCCGCCGCGACGAAGGCCTCCGCTTCCACCACGTCGCATCGCTTGCTACCTACGGCGACCGGCTCGTCATTGCAGACACGCGCGTGCCACTCAAAGAGCTCTCGAAAGAAGAGTCGATCGCGCTCCAAGCGCTCATCGATCAAGCGACCGACAATGACATGCTCGGCATTGGCGGCACGCCGTCGGCGGCGGCCATGAACGTCTATGGCCCGTCGTTGCCGTCGTCGAGTTCGAGCTACTACCGCGGCGGGTACGTCAAGCCCAAGGAGACGGCGCTCTTCATTCGCACCAACAAGGCGCCGAGCGGTAAGAGCAGCTCGGACTCGAGCGTGCCCGTCTCGCCCATCACGGGCCACGACGACGAGACGTCCGAGGACAAGGAGTTTGCGCGGAGTGGGGGTACCGACGTTTTTACTGACCTGCATTAAGCCGACACTGCGCCGCAATGCATTTCATTGAATGTTTCCGCAAACGATCCTGTCACTCGTTTGGTCGCGTGCTCGAAGCTTCTTGTGGGCGAGAGGATAAGGGTTAGGGTCTGCACCGTCTCATGGCAAAGTGCTCCACACACTAAATATTCAACGAAGAATCTTGAGATGCGAGCGATTGAGCGACGCACATGATGTGGCCTATCGTTCTAGTAGTCGCCGCCGTCGTCGTCGCCATGCAATCGCGCAATGTGGGTGGTCAAGCCATAGCAGCAGTCGCAGACGTAGGGCGTTCGTCGTGTCTTCTTTTTCTTGTCATGTATTGTGTGCAGGTGGTATTGCCAGCCGTGCGCAAGGACTTCGTCAATGTCCTTGTCTTGGATGGCTTTCCAGAAGATGTCGAGGCGCTCGTGATCGATGTCGACGTTGGCGGCGGCCAAGACGCGCACCATCGCCTCGCGCGTCACGTCACTGGTCTGCAGCGATAGCAAGAGGTAAGTGGCCACGTAGCGCATCTCGTCGTATTGGAAACTGCATCCAACAAACGTCAGCATCGTATTACAATCGGTCGGCACGCGAGTGGACATATTGTCCACACAGGAATGCATGTCGTCCCGTCGAATAGTGAGTGATGGTCCACGACGTCGTGTCCTTCTTGCATGTTGTGCACTGCGAACCTCAGGCGACTAGTGCCACCACGCGCCGGGGCACCGTCCCATCATCGTCGCCTTGGACGTAGTATACGGCTATAGAAGCGTGTTAAGCGTTCTCTTTGTTGGTCCAACGACCTTGCAGAGACGCATCTTCTTGCTTCGCTCGCGGGGCCTCGTCTCGCTCATCTGTCGTCGCTCAGGCGCTGGCCACGACGAGACACTTCGTTCAGTTCTTCTGATAGGAGGCCACGCTAGTACGTTGTTTGTTGTTGCTGAAGTGGGTGGTTCACGCAGCGCTGTTTCTTGACGACGTCCTTTTTCCCGGAGCTGCCAGCGACATGGACCAACTTTAGTATATACGTAGTGCTACGCCTGAATGCATGGGAGTCAGCACCAGCACTTGGTCGTTGGGAGTGAGCTGCGTAATACGGAGAGATCCATCCCGCAACTTTAGTATATTTACGAAATGAAGGGCATCTCATTCTCAAGAAAGTGGTGGACGCGGGCGTTGGCAGCAACCCAGAGCTGTCGCTCGAGCGCAAGCGTGCGGCGCGCGCTGTCGAGGGTAATGTACAGGCGACTGTGGACGCCAACGCAGACGGCGGTGAGGACGACGACGATGGCGTGCCACTCGAGCAGCATGAGGACAAAGAGAACAAGGCCGATCGAGGACGAGTGCTTATTCATCTCGTTGAAGGCGGCGTTCTCACACTTTTGCACGCGCGTGTGCTGACTCAAGTAGTAGTTGTATTCGTCCTCGTCCGTCATATGGGGCTCCGTCGGCCGCGTTATCGGAGCCGGCGCGTCGAGACGCCACGGCAGACAGCGGTCGGGCACAGCCGAGACAAGCGACAGCGCCAACGGAAAGCTCACGCAGAGCACGTACGGGAGGATGCTCTCGGTCATGTTGATTGCGAAATGAATCGCCAGTGGCGACGCGTCCCACATCCGTGAAAGGGTTAGGGTTCACTCGCATTTTGTCGATTGACAGCTAACGGTAGTCGGTCGACGCAGTGGGCGAGGTCGAGCCGACGCCGCCAGAGCGCCAAGACGTCCATTATCCAATTCGCTCTGCCGTGAAGACGCATGGGGCTAGCGTGGCGCACGCCTCGCCGTCGTGCCAAAGAACTGGCCACAACCCAACGGCACTGTTGAATCCATCGACAACTCATATTTTGACGGGCATCTTTCACTCGACATTAGTAGTTCAAGGGGGCTCGAGAGGATGGATGAAGTTATCACTGCGATGCTCAACGAGCCGTTCAGCCGCGGGCTGTGCGTCCTCATCATCCTCGTCCAGTACCTCGCGATCTGGCTCGACCGCACGCTGCTCTACTCGTCGCCACGCATCGATCTCTCGCTTGTGACCGACGACGACTACGCGTCACCCGACAAGATTGGCCGCATCGCCAACCACCAAGCGCTCCTCATCCTTCACCGCAGACGTCGGAGCTTTTCGCGCTCGCAGCTTGAGAGCCTCGGTCCGCTCGTGAGTTTAACCGTCCTCACCGTCGGCAGCACACTTGTACCGAGCGTCGTCCAGTGGCTTGTCGTACTCCCAAGCGTTGTGCTCGTGGCCTATGTGATTCTCTGGCTGGCGCTCGACAAGCTCCAGGCCGACGACGAGGTCGCGCAGTGGGAGGCGTGGGAAGCCGCCAGCGTCGCCGCGCGCCAGGCCAAGTCCGCAGCCTAAGATGCTCCAGAAGCTATATTTCG